CACACGTATTAAGGCTTGGCGGGTTTGAAGTATTTGGGGATCGTACACGCCGACCTAAAGCCCGACAACATAATGTTCAAATTGGGGACAGGGAATAATATTCTGGTGAAGATCATCGATTTCGGTTGGGCGTTCGACATGAAGAACGTGCACACCATGTACCAGAAGCAGCTCCAGGTGATCCCATACCGTGCGCCCGAGGTGTGCTTCCAAGGCAATCTAGATCACGGTCTGGACATGTGGGCCCTGGGATGCATCATGCCGGAAATTGTTACCGGCGTCAAGCTGTTCGACGTCGACGACGAGGAACTGTTGATCAAAATGATCATACGCACACTTCCAGTGCCCGAGTACTTGATATCGGACTTATCAAAAGATATCCTCGAAACGAAACTCACCGTCGGTTGGATTCAATTTCAGGTGATTATCATTTACATGGCACATTATCACAATACCGTTACACTTCCGTTGCTTATCGTTGCTATCATATTATTATAAAATACCCACCTTAGCTGCACCAATTCCATAAGTATCTATTCGTCACTGATTTTAAATTATAACTTACTAACACTCACATCATATGTATAAACTGTTAAATATTAGTATTTTAAAACATTCGAAAATATTTTTAGTTTAATTAAATTATGAAAATATTCCTACTCCATCGGGCATAGATTATGTTAGATACTAGTGATGCCACAATGTTCGTACAATTTTTATACAGTACTACTGACATTCAGTATATTAATATATGCATCAGTTAAAACTCATTTAGGTATAACAATCTAAAGATTATAATATTTAGTTTAATACTTTGTCTGAAGTACTGATGCACAATAAACTTACTGTAGTAACTAATAAGCCAAATAAAAAAAAAAATTAGGCTGATGTAAACCCTCCATTTGTTTTAGTCATATAATTATACCTATACGTCATAATAATATTCATTATAAGATTTTCTACAATTAAATAACCATAACACGTTACACATATTAAGTCGTATATTTCATTTGTTGGATATTTAAATTTTAAATACGATATTGGAGTTCAACTGTAATCTGCAGTCACACCAAACATTAAAATTGTACCTACGTATTTTGTACTGTTTTTTTTTTCATCCCATCATCGCAGTAAGACTAATAATTCGTCTTTTAACAAAGACGATTAGAGCAAGTACTTTATGATTTATRAATTCCTACTTTTGAATATGTTTGAGAATTATTATAAAATGCCTACTGCTTGTAGAATAAACGGCAATAAAAAATAAATTATTATGACTAGCGTGCGTTGATCAAGTCATGATKATAATATTATTTCAGCGTGTTTGCAGCATACATTTCACTAATCATATTGTGTGTACGATTAATTACCAATAATTATTATAGATGTAGCCATGTACGCAGGTGGTATACGTTACTTGAATTAAAAGTATACGATACTATATGATATTATGATAGTAAAACACGCATTTTTATTTATAAAAATTAAATTAAATTTTTAAAACGCGCCCTGTACGTTTTTCAATACTCGTTTCGTCAAATRTTATACTTTTTTCACATCTTTCATAAGCTTTCCTCATCGTATACCTGTATTGTATAGCACATTATCAATAACGAATTTTGCTTACTGAAATGATTTGATTTTTTTTTCCGAAAAGAGAAACGTCTAATACGTACCAGCTGTTTATATGCATTATTATTAAAAGCAGGATACGGTATTGTAATACGCAGGAATTGTTTGATAAAAATATTAATATGTATATACTATTCTATCGTTTGTGGTCCATTATTRTAAAGTTTTCACGAGAAAGAAATGGTTTCCAACTGCATACATTGTTATTGGCAAGAATCTGAATCCGTTTTGTGAGTAGAAAATATGAGCGAAAAAAAATAAAATGAGCTATACGTTAAAAGCCATTTCGAATTTGGGCTATTTCGTAAGAATTACTTAGGACAGCATATTTTATTCAAGACATCGTTTTTATTAAGAATGATGGTATAAAGTTTTTTCAAAACTTCATTCTACACAATAATATTTATTGTTTGTGATGCATACCGTCGGGAAAATATGTGCAACTTGATGGTCCCAAACAAACTCAATTACAACAATATGATTCAAATGTTCGATTTTTGTTTGTATGAATAGATAATATAGCGCAAAACTGAAATGTCTAMAWAAAAAAATTATGCATCGATAGTCAATGATTGTAAAATATAATTCAATATAATATTATAAATAAATGCAAGATTTTATTGTATTTCTAAAAAATAAAA